GCCTCCAGAAGCGGTGAATGCTCCAACACTGGAAGTTTTTAAGAAGAAACTGGACAGCCATTTGTCCGAAATGGTATAGGGTTTCCTGCCTGAGCAGGAGGTTGGACTAGATGACCTCCAAGGTCCCTTCCAACTTTATCATCATCATCATCATCATCATCATCATCATCATCATCATCATCATCATTATTATTATTATGGGACAAAGTAACCATCATAAATATGAGTCAATTGCTAAGTAACTGAATTTTGATCATGTGAGCATGGGGATGTTGCAACAGTTGTAATTGTCAAAAACAGTCATAAGTCACTTTTTCCAGAGCTGTTGTAACCTTGAACAGTCACTAAATGAACTGTTGTAAGTTGAGGACTACCTGTACACAAAAAAGAGTGCATAAAATAAAAAAAACCAAAACAGATGTATATATAAATTCACTTAAATATACATAAATTCACTTAAATGTGAGCCAGCAGTGTGCGACAGCAGCCAAAAAGGCTAATACAATCCTTGGTTGTATAAACAGAGGCACAGAATCAAAATCATGTGAAGTATTAGTATCGCTTTATAAAGCCTTGTTAAGGCCACACCTGGAATACTGCCTCCAGTTTTGGTCACCACTTTACAAAAAATATGTTGAGACTTTGGGGGGGGGAAGTGCAGAGAAGAGCAACTAAGATGATTAAGGACTTGGAGACAAAAACATATGAAGAACGGTTGTAGGAATTGGCTCTGGCCAGTCTAGAGAAAAGAAGGACTAGGGGTGACATTATAGCAGTATTCCAGTATTTGAGGGGCTGCCACAAAGAGGAGGGGGTCAACTTATTTTTCAAAGGCAAGACAAGAAATAATGGATGAATACTAATCAAGGAGAGAAGCAATTAAAGAAAAACTTCTTAACAGTGAGAACAATTAACCAGTGGAGCAGCTTTCCTTCAGAAGTTGTAGGGTGCTTCATCACAGGAGATTTTTTTAAAAAGACTGGACAGCTACCTATCTGAAATGGCATAGGACAGTGATGGCGAACCTTTTAGAGACCGAGTGCCCAAACTGCAACCCAAAACCCACTTATTTATCACCGGGTGCCGGGTGGACATGGCCCACTGGGTGGGCGTGGATGTGGTGGTCATGGCAGACTGGGTGGGCGTGGTCACCTCAATGTTGCTCATGGGGAGGGACGCCTGTGGGGGCCGGGCAGGGCTGGGGAAGATCCAGCGGGTCTCTGGCAGGTGGGGTGGTGCGCAGGAGACTCGTCCTGTGGGGTGAGGCGAGGCAAGGTGAGGCAGGGCAGGGGTGCCATTGTCGCAGGGCAAGGCGAGGTAGGGGCCAGGGTGGCTCCTGCCTGACACCATCGGCCCTCGCACACAGAGGCCAGCGAATGCATGAGGGCCGACAGTGTCCGTCGGCAGCCACAGCCTGCTGGCCCCTCAACTGGCGCACTGGGGCTCTGCAGCCTGCCACCAGCAGTTCAGAGAAGCTGCCTCTGAGCTGGATGGCCAGCTGAGGAGGTGATGCAGTGGGCCGTACCCAGGAAAAGGAGAGCATGCGAGGCCAGGAGGGATGGGACGGGGGGGGGAGGGAAACCAGCCGTGCTGGGATGCATCCGGCCATGTGGGACCTCGGCGAGTTAGCGGGCAGCTGGTTGAAGAGGGATGGTTGCCATCTCCGGGGCATGGTGTGTGTGCCCACAGAGAGGGCTCTGAGTGCCGCCTCTGGCATGCATGCCATAGGTTCGCCACCACTGGCATAGGATCTCCTGCTCGAGAAGGAGGTTGGACTAGAAGACCTTTAGGGTCCCTTCCAGCTCTATTCTGATTAAATTGTCCCCCCACTTGAAGACTGATAAATATAGTTCAAAGATAATAAGTCCTCCCCTCTTGCAAAGCAGGCACACAATTTCTAGAACATTCTTTACTCAATCCAGTTAGTCTATTTACTTCATGGAAACACAGT